AGGTTGCAAATTGTGATCATGTGACAGAGGTGGTTGCTGCAGGTATGGCCCAATACAGCTGTACCAGTAGTGACTGGGAACAGTTTAGAGCATACCGGTACGGTGGCTCATTTGGCCCACCTGCCTGCTCGCACTCTATAGCTTGTTTTTATGGCAAACTGTGCACATGCACACAGCATGCGGTACCTGCGCAAGCCCCAACAAGCAGGTGGTTGTTGCAGGGGTGATGGATTGCGCATGTGTGCACAATGCATGTCAGGCGCATTCACAAACAGACCGTGATCAGCATGCTGGTAGCGACAGTAAAAGCAACTCACCACTGGGTGGTACAACTTATCATAAATGTGAGCTAGTTGCAAAGCACCAGATTGTGATCAGTTGACCACAGAGGTGATGTGATGGTCATAAACTTGAGTACAAGTCATAGGTCACTTTTTCCAAAGCTGTTGTAACTTTGAACAATAGTTAAAAACTAGACATAAGTCAAGGACTACTTATTTGTGATTAAATGCCTCACCCGGAGATAGTGCAATTCATAATCATTCGTTTCAGTTTTGAAGTTGACATTCAGCCTTCCCGGGGGTTTTCCACTGCTCCCTTCAACTCTTCTACTTCATCCCAGGATCTACTATGTTACAAAAGCATAGAACACTTCATCTTGTCATTGGGGAAGATGATGATAATGGTATAAATTGACTTGCAATTATTATTGATGGTTCAGAACAATAGTAGTGTCAGGACAATAATTGTGGCCCGTTTTAGTGAGAATCATCATTTAAGGAATTAAATGCACTGATTGTCTTAGGCTTCATATTCCAGCTTTGAAAATGCAAGAATGAAGGGAAAGGTTGTATTGCTGAAATGCAAATGCTAACATTTGGGAAGGAGGGATCAGTTTGTTTTGATTTTTTGGGGCTGTTGAGAATTAATGTTGCACTCAGAGATGAACTCAAATAACTTGTGTGTTTTCTATTTCCTATTGTTTTGTTTGAAGTGAATTAAGCATGTCACTGTGGTCCTTTGTTTCCATAAGAATTTTTTTAGCCTGCAAATGTAATTGGATGATGGTGAGAATGGATGATGGTGATTAAAGATGACAGCTCCAGGTGATTCTTATTAGTTTGCATAAAATGTTGCATATTTCCCAGGAATGTAACCCAAAATGCTCAATGATTTGATTGGAGGTTATCTCCTGTGAAATCTGGAAGATTGTTCCTTCTGAGACTGACCTCTTTATGAACACCCAGTGGTTACCTTAAAAGTTTCAGTTCTTTTATTCAGCTCTCATATCACATAATGACTTTTAAGTCAATAGTAACCATTTGAATTGGAGCTGCTGAGAAATTGTTTTCCTTGGACATTCAGTTTGTGAGATTTTGCTTATAAAAATAAACCTGAATGTCCATGTGCATTTCCACTAAAGTCTATTTTATTGCTGTTTTGTTTTTATTAAAATTAAGCATCTAACTACTGCATGGAATATAATTACATCAATCCATAGACTGGACAATTAAGGGCACACACAAATCCCCCATGGTCCACCTTCCATTTTCCAGACATTTTCTAAAAAACAGCAACCCCTACCTTCATTCCTTTGGTAGCAGAAAGTCAGTCCTTCTCACTGCTTTGAAGAGTGGGGGGGCATTAATCCCCTTCTTTTCTTGTTCAATGCTAATTGGTTATGAGTTTATTACCGTACTTCTTGTTAGTTGCAAAGTCATGTCCGACCCATCGCAGCCCCATGGACAATGTTCCTCCAGGCCTTCCTGTCCTCCACCATCCCCCAGAGTCCATTCAAGCTCACAATGACTGCTTTGATGACTCCATCCAGCCACCTCATTCTCTGTCATTCCTTTCTTCTTTTGCCCTCAATCATCCCCAGCATTAGGCTACTCTCTAGTGTGTCCTTCATTCTCATTAGGTGGCCAAAGTATTTGAGTTTCCTTTTCAGGATCTGGCCTTCTAAAGAGCAGTCAGGGTTGATCTCCTCTAGGACTGTTTATAACTACTTAAAGTAATGACAAGAACACCTCTACAGCTGTAGCCATTTTGTAAACCATTGGAATGTGTTGGTTCCTAAACCAAAATCAAATATGTTGGGCTGCAACCTGGATTGCAATCCACATTTCTGTACAATAATCCTTCATTGGCTGCATTCATACAGTCAGTTAACCAAATGACCTGGGTCCAGGCATCAAACTAATTTGTAAAAACAAATCTCTAACCAAGTTCTTGGTGTATTATGTGAATCCAGGTATTAGTTTGTCTTGGCTTTGGTTAAGCATATTGTACCTGAATATATGTTTGATATTTAAGAACCCCTGCCATGCATCACTGGAGCTCTAGTTTCATCAGCCTCTGTTTAGAAACAAGATGGGTTTATTTGGAGAAGTATTCCCGCTTCTTTCTCCCATGGCTTTTAATCTTGAAGAACAACTTGACCTAATTACTTGTTTCCATTGCCGAGGTCTAGCCCTAGTGGGAATTCTTCCATCCTGCTGGTAAAATATGATGGGGGGTGGGTGGGCAAAGAGAAGATTCTTCCCTATGTTTTATTAAAGAGTTCTGCCTAAAATAACATGTTTTCAAATTAAGGGCCAACTCTTCATCCCTTGAGATAATTAGATTGGAAGTTCAGAAGAAAAGTTCAAATGGAGAGAAGAAGTGAGTATAGTTAACAAAAGTATGGAGAAGCAATTGTTAAACATTCCGGAAAGCACCGGAAAAGACTGTTCTACCCTGTCTCTGTGAGGCAATTTTCATATTTAATGAGCATTATAGTATCTCTGTGGAATAAGACTTGCAGGCTTTTTTTACCAAGATAATTCTTTTTTTCTCAGAAGCAATATGAAGTTGGTATAATATTAGCAATAGCAATAGCAGTTAGACTTACATACCGCTTCATAGGGCTTTCAGCCCTCTCTAAGCGGTTTACAGAGTCAGCATATCGCCCCCACAGTCTGGGTCCTCATTTCACCCACCTNTTTGAAACCCACCATTGGTATGTATGTATGTAGCTGATTTTCTAAATTTCTTTGAAGGAAAAATGTGGCTCCAGCCTCATCTATGGGTGAGGGTAATGACTAACATCAGACTGGTGAAAACAGCATTGCAGCCTCACAACACAAGCTTCACCGCTTTGTAGACGTGTTCCAATTTTGCATGCATGCTGACAATGGACAGAGCTTAGGGAACAATGCCATAATGATGCTTCTATCTTTCTGACGAAAGCACCAAGATCCTGCTCTTGGCTTACTTCAAAATCTGAATCATACTTGGAAAGGATCCCACTATTTGCACAAGCTAAGACAATGGGCACACTCTCCCTTAAAGGTCTCTTGGTATACAAATAGGTTCTTTTGCACAAACACACCACTCCAAAGCCCGGAGAAACATATTAAGCATATATAACTAAATGAAAGTTAGGTTTTATTCACACTACCTTTTTATATGTCCTTGCCTATTCTATGGAAGGCCGCTCCTGTGGTGCCTCCTACAAGGACAAGTGTGGTTATTGCCCAAAATGACATTTTGCAGACCACCAATGTTATTTTGTCCTGTTAAATACAGATATGTATTAATTCAATCAATTCACTCATCTCCCTCCTCTCATAATAGTAAAACCAATCGAGTTAGGAACTTTATGAATCATCTTTCACATTTAATACATTGAGCTATTGAGTCATAATCTTTCAGTTGAGCATTGCGTTGTAGATAAGATGTTACTGAATTAAAAATAAAAGGAGAGGGAAATCAGTCATGATTACTGTTGTGCTATTAAAAATACACCTGCTTGAATCATGCCTTTAAAAAAAAAAGTTTTAAAAAATGATGTGCAGTAAAGATTTTTGCTGTAATTTCCTCTCTGATTAAGGCAAATGTCAGAGGTTTGTAATCCAGTGATTTTGGTAAACAGCCTCCCCACACACAGAGACATAATATTTAAGTGTTTCCTCTAAAATACAAGTTTCCAAGTACCAGAAGTACCAGAGGATGTAAGGGATTAAGAACAAATGTCTTATTGTTACTTTTAAAGACCTGATTATTTTAAAGGCATTACTGATTCTTAAGAAAGACAAATGTTTCACACTTCAAAAGCAAATAACAGAGGTTAAAGATATGAATATTTAAGGATTGATTATTCTTGATCCTTCCACTTTCTACTCAAGTCACCTTTCCAAACTTTTTCAGAAAGCCAGAGTTGGTAGCCATTTCAGTCCTTAGCTTCTATTTTGGGATCCATTTTTATTACTTTCCCCTAATTACGATAGCTCTTATTCTTAAGATTGCTAAATTTCATAATATTTGATTGAGCTCACTGAAAGTACCTAATGCAAATGAAATGAAAATGTCACAGTCTCATCATAGCTAATATTAGTGTCAGTAGTTTCTTACGTTTCATTGATCAGATCTCAAGATTTTTCCATATCTTAATTTATGGAGGATTGCATGTGTTAAGGCAAATGAGGGGCACCATGATGTCAATGGTTAAAAAAAAAACTATTTGAAATGTATATTCCCTTGTTTTGCTTGTTGATACATGTGTGTGAGTAAAATAATTTGTTGTCCTTGAATTTTTAATATTCAATATTTAATATTCAATGTGCTTGAATTTTTAATATTTAAACAAGTTCTATGTTCTGAAATGGTATATCCATTATAGCATTTCACCCTGCACTTTTTGTGTTTAATGGGGAACTTTCATGGTTGATTTGTATGAAAGTGATTTGTTGGCATTGTTTGGAGAAATGGAAAACTGGCCAATCAATGAACTGTCTTGTTAATTGGCAAGTCATTGACTGAGATGGGTGGCCATAGAAACTGAAGAAATACATATATAAATTGCAAAAAAGAACAAGAAAAGTCTCCCAGTGCTTTGTTCTTCTGGAAACCTAATTTGGCTTTCCAAATAATCTTAGAATTAACTGGTCAGGTGAAACGCCTTCTTTCCTTATAGCTTCTCTTTTGTTGAATCTTCTTCTCTTTCATTCCCTTTCCAGTCAAAAAGCAAATGGAGATTAAGTCCCGGGGAGTGAAATTGATGCCAAGTAAAGACATGAACCAGAAGACATCTGTGTGTAAGTTTCAACCACCATTGCATGTTGAGTGAGATTTAGCACCTTGAACATCCCATATGACTTTCCAGCAATCACCAGACGATGCCACTCTTTTTCAAAATGGTAATGCCTGTTCTCCCCTCCTACCCTGCATTATTGCTTCACCTGCTCCGTTTAGTGCTCTGTTTGCAAACACATACTAACTCTGTAAGGGTGCCTGTGTGGGACTCTGTGTGTGTGTGTGTGAGATAGAGATTGCGTGTGTGTGTGCACGCGTGAGCCCACACATGTCCACAGTGGAATGGACCATGTGCTGTATATATTGTTAGGAGTGCTTTGCAGGACTGCAGGGATCTGGATTTCTCATCTATATGTCATGCACTCTACTAAGTAATTCAGACGGGAGCAAATACATGCTTGACAAACACAAATGTCAGAAAGCTTGGGTCAATTGTTCAGAAACAAACAGCAAAGGAAAAACAATAATCTAAAACATGGTCAGTTTTATTTTCCTTTCCTAGTATATTAAATGTCATTGTGCCTATCCNATTGAATAGAGACCCATTTTGACATAGTGGTAAAAACAGCAAGCTGGATACCAGGAGATCTGGAGTTCTATCCTGCTTTAGGCCCAACTCAGCTGGATAATCCTTGTCCAGTCACACTTTCTCAGCCCTAGCAGGCAATGGAAAACCATAATAAAATCTTGCCAAAATAACTGCAGGCATTTCTGCAGGCAATCCCCAGCAGTCAAGGTTGACTCAAAGGGATACACACATCTCCCCACAGACAAAAAAGCTTTGCTTACAAATGCCCTTTATTCATCTGAGCATGATATACTGTACCATCCATTCTAGATAGTTTTGAAAAGAAGAGAGATCATTGTGGACGTTTTGGGAAGCATTACACATGTTTTTATTTCTCCCTTTGCTGTTGCCAACCAACCTTTCTTTCCAGAATATCTTTTGGTGATATGACCAGATAGCAGGGCAGCTTTCTAATTATCTGTGGCAACAGAGAACTATAAACAGTTTAATTTCTGTGCCTTTGAAGTGGGGAGGCAATTTCACTTGATGGAGCACTAATCTGGCCGCAGAAGTTAGATCTGCATAAAAATCAGCATTGGATTTAAATTTTTGTTTCTTTTATACTGTAAAGTCTATACTTGTATCGCAAGATTTCTATGTGGGTAAATAACAGGCTGCACAAACCAGTTTTATTTGCATCTCGAGGACATTTGAAACATGTGATTGCAGGAAGAGTTCCTTACGCATCTTCATAAAAGAGATTACTTTTTAAAAATGTATGTGGCTGTTTTTGTTAGCTTCTCTCTTTTTTTTCTTTTTGCAGGTTTACAGGGACGAACCTTCCTGCTCCTGTAATCAGCAGCAAAAACTGGCTTCATCTCCACTTTATGTCAGATGGGAACCACAGACAGAAGGGTTTCAACGCACAATATCAAGGTAAGTTGTAGGATCCTTACTAACCTCTAAAGGTCTTTCAGAATTGTTTCAATTACAATAATTCCTAAAACGGATTGCAGATGTACAGGGCAATTTTCTATTTTATTTATTTTCCTTTTCTATGTTTTTCATGTGCATTGACTAAAATATTGGGACAAACTGTACAAATGTCAGCATGAGAAATTACTATTCCAGCAGCTATATTCTCACTCAGTGGATGTGGTTGGTGACTTAATAATATAGAAAAAACTGCATGCACTTTTCCCCTCATACAATTGAGGGATGGGATATAAATAATACTCATTTGTACACATCTTTCCTAATACCCGCATTATATGTGTAATTTTTGGAATAAAAACTGTATTTCAAAGCTCAGAGAAATGTGCAGCTAAAAAAATAACAGTCATATTCCAATCCATTAGTTTGGATATTGCAATTTTTTTTGTTTCCTTAAAAAATACTCAACCCTTACACCTTTTTTCAGTAGCCTGTTTCTAATACCATACCCAGATTCCTCCTATGCTGTGTTTTACTACTGCATTCTTGAAAGGGATTAATTCAGTTTGACATTTATGCACGTGTAATAAATTTTGACATAGCCAGTATATAATTGCATCAAGTTTACTTACTTCCATGTGTCAAACATCAGTACCAAGGAAAAGAGGCTTAATAGAGGGTTTGAAGGATTGTACAATACCATTACTTTCACCTGCTACGAAACTTATGCTTAGGTCATCTAATGCAAATGAAAGGCCAACATGGAAAGGAGGATGTTCAAGGTGGTTTCATAAAGGACTTGAGGAACAAGATGGAATGGAATAGAATTCTTTATTGGCCAAGTGTGATTGGACACACAAGGAATTTGTCTCCAGTGAATAAGTGCTCAGTGTATCTACAAACAACAAAGTGATGATGTATGCTATATGATTGAAAAAGATGAAGAATTCCAAAAAAAAAGTCAATGTCTACCTCATTGATTATAGAAAGGCTTTTGTCGTCCATGCTATGTTGTTATTGTTAGTTGTGAAGTCATGTCCGACCCATCATGACCCCATGGCAATGTTCCTCCAGGCCTTCCTGTGCTATGTTAGACTATCCGGGACTTAATTGTTGATGAGAGGACAGACCTGGCATGTATTACTGAAACCTGGCTGGGCACAGAAGGAGGAGTCCCCCTCGTAGAGATGTGCCCAGAGGGATTTCAGGTGCTTCATCAGCCGAGCGCACAGGGAAGGGGTGGCCGTGTGGCAATTATTATCCGGGAGTCTCTGTTACCTCGTAGGGTCCCTGCTCTGGAGCTTGCCGGGTGTGAGTCCCTGCTGATAAAGTTGG